ACTCCATCATGAGCAGTCAATATGCTCAACGTCACTTCCCCAAGTGGCCCTGTTCAATGAATTTTAGCGATCGTTGTGTTGATTATCCATTTAACGTGTTTATTGAATGGCCTCTCTGTTACACAAAGATAGAGAGAAATAGTATCCTGAATGATAATGGCGATGACACAACAGGAGATGTACCAACTACGATAACTCCTGGCAACATGGGTTGGAAAGATCTTCCGAACTATATGAAGTAACACTGGCAACGATTTCCCGTTCTTATATTTTATTTTCAGAAATAAACCTTTTGACTTAGTTTTTATGATTATTCAAATTTCTTTCCCAAATAGAGATGCGGTACCAGCCATGGTAGAAATGGCAAATCAAACTACAGGGGTATGTCATTGGCTCAAGGCTTAGATTTACAAACACTAATCATCAACAGACTATCGATTTGCATATGAGTATACATTACAATACTTTTATGCTCTTTACTGGATATCGTGGCAGCCAGGATGAAGTTTTGTATCGATTGGAAGAACATCTTAACGCTGGCAAAATCAATATTGAGTACAGTGAAAGTATAAATAAGGCGTTACTCGAGATGATTCTAGATGTTTAAAAAATAAATTTTGATTGAGTTAGTAAGATTTAGCTATTTCTTGTATCTCATAGTTAACAACAAACGAAGGAAAGTTTTATCACCAAGACCCTATGAAGCAGAAGAAATTGGATTGTGCTATCTTTCTGATTTTCGACAGTCCATACTCCAGTTAGATTCAGTCGTAGAGTGTTGTTCCAGTCGATTACAGGCATTCTTTCCAGATGACCCGGAAGTGAGTTGGAAAAAATCTCAAAGCTGAAAGTAACTTTCTCATTGAATTCTCTTTTCTATTTTGGTTTTCAAAGATAAACCATTTTGAATAGACGCTCCTGAATCCTGAAAAAGGAGCATTTGTGATGCATTAATAACATATTCGAACTCTGTTAGATCGATTCTCATATGGAAGAAGCTGAACCTTCACATCTTTGTCTAACCACCTTACTTGTTGCATCTGTTGTGTCTTCTCTCCTTAGAACTTTCAGAATTCGTTCAGATTGATTCGTCGTTTCCGGAGAGTTTAAAAGCAAGTCAAACCTTCAGAGCATGTCGTCCCGTTCTTGCTTCATAGACTTGATAGAGAAGGTGTTGTTGACGCCGAGAGAATCAATGTGTAGTTTGAAAGTATATTTATTTAGAATAGAAGAGGATAGATGAGTTCGTTAACGAACTATTCGTCATTGCAATTCTTGAACATGTAATACGGCAGCCGTCTGTCACATGAAATTTCAGTTGAGCATGTTGTGATCGTCGTCATATCCCCACATGGATGTAGTTTGTGAACAAGTTCACAACACTACTGCCAATGACATCGGTTTTTTGCAGTCAGATCAGCGAATATTTATTGCGATTAATAAAACCTAGAATGTTGAAATCATAATGTTATGAAATGTGAGCTCAGTGGATAATCGAAGGAGCAGCTCTGTAGTTGTGCAGCCATTTTGTAGTCTATCATGTAGTTTACTCATCTTATGTTGGTTCAATCTATTACAATCTTCTTGATTTAGATTAACTACGAGGGAAATGGTAACTGAGGAAGAAGGTGTTGCTTTCACTGATAGACAGGAAGGAGATGAAGTATCTCAATTCAATCTTATCCCAATTGAAATCAAAGAAATGATCCTAAAGAAAGCAGGAGAAGGCATTACAAATTTCTGTGACTTCAAGGTTCTCTAACCTAGAATATTAAAATTGATGATTGTTTCAGAAGTTTTGGAGCTTGAGCGGCGTGAACAAAGAATTCTATTTGATCTTCAGCAGCAACTATGCTCAACGTCACTTCATCAAATTCCCCTGTAGAATCAGATTATATCCCTCCGATTGGGGAAAGATATTGAGTGGCGATGATGATGATTTAACATTTTCGGTGGGTATTTTTCGGCTTAATCCCACTTCTGGATGTGATGAAGAGAAATACGTGAGACTCACAGATACTGATTATTGGAGAAATGAATTTCTATCTGCAAGCGACAGAATGTATTGCCATGAGATTCCAAAATACTTAAGGTAACTCTCTCATCGAACCTTCTTTTCAGTTCCCGTTTTCAGAGATCACCACTTTCGCGTTGATTTTGTAACAATTGAACCTTCGATATCAACTAACAACATAATATCTCTTGTCTTAGAGTTAGCAAAGCAAGCATCTCACGTATGTTAATCCTTTTCTTAACTATAACACATATATTTATTAGAAAATTGGCGTCTTCGTCTCGGTTATGCAAAAACATATGTATCCATTCCTTTTTTATCTTCCTGATGCTGAACTTTCTAATATGGGTTTGCTCTACAAATATTCCTCGAAGAAAGTTAAGGATGAACTGAATGATCTTCATGAAGCGGGAAAAATCGATCTGGTATTTGATATTGAAGTTTTCGGAGTGTATTTTTGAGATGACGACTGTTTAACTGTATTCTTATGTATCCCGAAAAAGGGACAATTCGTTATTGTATTTATTGTATTAACAAACATGTGATAAATCATCCCATCTGGTACATGATGAGTTGAGCATGTTCAAAATATCAAGAAAACAAGAAGAAAGATGAAGTTTAAACGTGTTCCTGGAGTATTACCATGTAGAGGTGGGGGGACTTTCTGTTGGTAAGGGTTGGTATGTATTGTTTTACAACTTGGTTGTTGACATGTCATTCTTTTGCTTTAGGCTTTTGTCCTGCTCCATCCTTTTTATACCAAATGACCAATTTTTCTTTGATAACCTCAGCACCCGACTCTTCACCATCATGATAAATCTCATCAGGGTTGATGAAAGGTTGTTTCAAGTCGGTAAACAACGAATAACTTGACCATAAGGCTCCTATTCCTCCTCTTCTCCATCAGTTCGATTTCCCTGATGACATGAATATTTGTGATTCCATATCCATCCTGCTCGTTTCCAATATGGAATGACCCACTGTGTGTTACTTTTTAGAATGTTTTAGGGATAGTTTTAGTTCTTGAGATTGAGTTGTGAATGAGAAGTGAGAGCATGACGGTAACAGAAAATGGGAAGCCAGCGAACAGCCCTCCCTGCGTCTCCATAGCTTCTCCCCCTTAAGCAACAAAAAAATCTTTGGAGCATACAAGCAAGTCTAACGCAAGCTCAAAAGTTTTCAGTCATTGAACTTAAGGAACCCAAAACAGGCCACCGAAACCCCAATTCTATGTGGATTATTGTCAGCTCAGATTGATTTCATGTGGAAAAGAGAAGGGAGTGGATGTCATTCAGCCATGTGTTAATAAAGCATAAAGTTTCACAAAAACGAAAAAGAATTTTAATTCCAACTGAGGAAGAATCCAAAACTTGCTCAATCATTTCCCATCGTGAAGTCTTCGGATGTTCATCAATATGGGAACTTCTAAAATGACGAAAACAAGCTTATGCATCAGATCATCCTCCAGGTGTTCATAAAGCCAAGGACAGTAAAGCTCTCTCAATGTGAACTATAGGGTTGCGATATGCAGTAAACACTATAGAAACACCACTCAAATATTTTGAACCCATAGAATATGAGAAATGTGAGAGTAGAAGACAGAAGGGGGAGAAGACAGTTCTTAGATGTAACATGTTGCGAGCAACCAATCAAATCCCTGTGATGTTCTATCTATATCAACACGCCACAGGCATCCTGAGCATGAAGTGGATGGTAGAAACAGATAGGAACAACAGAACGTTTAAAAACAATTGTTCAATAATCAATAAAATAGACGAGACGAACAGAATTCAACAAAAAAAATTCAGAAAGTTCGGCCTGATAACGTTGGGTCTTTGACTTGAAAATCCATATCAACTTAGTTGTTGACAACTACATCTAGTCAATCGATAGGCTCCTACCAATCCGATATGACAGATTAAAACATTTTCTCTATTAGCTTGACAAGGACACAATACAAATAGTAATGGAAACAGAATAAGGCTTCTTGCAACAGTACGATTCATCTGTTAAGAAGCTATGATAAGGAATAAGAAGTTTGAAGCAAAGTAAGTAATCGTTTGAATATACGTTCATACTGGGAAAATGAGCATTTGGGAGAAAAGCAAATCATCCGACTGAGTCCTCTTATGAGAGATCTTCTTACTATCAGCAATGAGCGTGGGTAGGTAAGAGTCACACCCTGAGCGAGCAACTTTCGATAGGTGAAGCATGAATGATTTGCAACTGATTACACTAATACAATTTGTGAGATTCTGAGCAAAGACTGAACATTTAAAGTTAAGAAAGATAACATAAGACCTATCTGGAATCAAATCAAACAAACACCATGAGTCAATCAACAGTCCTGTTAGAAAAAGAATGCGTGGGAGTCTATTGATAGCAAACAGTTTGACAGAACTTTGAAAAAAAACAAAAATCTTAACTATGTTTGATCAAAATCGATAGATACTCGAAGAATGATTGAATTGCAAGTGATATCAAGTCGAAAAGTAATTGCACATTCCATTCTTCAAGTGCTCTGATAATTTCGAATCTCCATCACATGCAAAGCAAACCTTTCGAGGAGGACAGCCTGATTCTTAGCTGTTAACTGACAAACAAGTTTTCATACTTCAACTTGATATATATATATCTAAACATATGGATATGGTCATATGTTCTATTAAACGAGACCATCGTCTGTTGGCACTATCTCAGGCTGGCACTATCAGCTGAATATGAATAAGACATAATCTATTTATTCAGAAACTCTTAACTGAGTCATAAATGACATCATGACACGTTATCACTTTTGAATGTTTCTTATATAGTTTTCTGGTTTGAGATGCCTTTACAAACTATCAGTGCACATCTGAGTTGAAGTGGGTGCAAAATGGATCAGATTCGGCCATTAATTGATCGCTATGCTGTTGCAACTTTGATGAACTTCACTTCATTCATCTTAATATGCATAAGTTTATTCTCTGAAAGTATAAATTATATAATTTTTATATTTTTTAATGAATATATTCAGATTGGCTTACAGTTTCAATAAACTATATTGGAATAAAGAAAAGTTATAGTGCAGGTATTTGCTGTAACATGGCGGTACGTCTTCATCCTTCTCCTTTCATTACTTATTCTGTTTCTGTTTTAGCCTCTTGCTGGATACTTGAAAGTTACTCTTGGCTTTATGTTTACAATCTTCTTCATCTCCATTATCTGTCTCGGCATTGGTTGTGCCGTATTGTAAGCATATACCTTATTAGCAACTCATTACATTCATATAATTTTCAGCTTTTTCAAAATCAAAAAGCCTGATGAGCAGAAAGTACCACTTCTCAAGCGAATTTCTGCTCTTCTCAATGCAGTCATACTTGCATGCGCTCTATTCCTTCTATTCTTCACAGGAATATCATTTGCTACGAACAGTAGTTATAAATATTTCAAAGCACTTGGGGGACATTATAATGTGAGAATTATATAATAATAATATATATCAATTAACTATTATTTATAGTTATCAACGTGTTACTGGCTTCTCATACCAATTGCCGTTCTCAATGCTATATCGGCCTATCTCTCCGTCAATCTTAGAGAGGAGTTCAATAGATATTAATATACAAAAGACTAACTATATGTTGAATCCATTATTGATATGTAGAAACTATTTTAAATTTAAATATTACGATAATGAATGTTCACAAGCAATCTATTATCTTCATGCAAGAGAGATATTGATGAGAAGCTAATAATCTCTAACCAAATATTACTTTTAGGCGTTGGAAACTTTAAAATAAGTTTTTAACTACCCAAACCTCTGATAAGCTTTCTTATTTGTGTGAAAGTGCGTGGGAAGCTTGCAAATCAAAGTATATAGTAATCATTATCGTTTTCAAGCAATCTACATATAAACTTTACCAGCAAATTCAACATTATCTGCTTCGCATGATGGGGAAGATCATGCAGAATGCTGAATAGCCATTGATTGGAATTGATAGACAGGCAAGCAGAATGAAAATTTCATTTACTTGTAAGCTGAATAGTAAGCTCAGCTTGCTCATTCATACCGTTCATTCTTGCCGATCATTACTTGTTGCTGATAAAACAAAGAGAAACATCCTTTCTATTTCTCATTGAATCAACGTGACAATTGATGACAAATCACATAACACATGTAGGCAACAAAAAATGTTGCAAAATCTGTAAGTTCAAATGTTCATAGCTATTTCAGACGTTTAAGCAATTGACACAACACTATGTCTTTACGAGCTACAGTCAAACATGTGAGATGTCCGCAGACAACCGCAAACTCGAAGTAAGAGATGAAGAATGAAACTCATACATTTCATTCTTTTACTATCCCGTCATGCAGCGCGGCCTCGTAAACATTAAAGTTGAAAAATCTGATTATAAAGGAAAATAGCAGTTTGATTAATAATTATCAACCAGACAGATAATTTGAGGATCAGAAGTTTGATTAGATAATTCACAAAAACATATATAAGTAGAGGAGACTCCCATACAACGTCAGTCGTAGGTTAACAGACAGAGGTTACAAACTAAAATAGAAAAAAACTTCAACTAGTTACTCGAAGAATACATTACATGAGAAACCAAAACTACTTTTTCTACTTTTCATTGTAATTCTTTCTATATATTTCTATCCATGTATTACCCTATAACAAGCGATCAGAAATATTTATGTTTTGTTACTAAAGGTTAAATCTTAGTCAGCTAAAGGTCATATATAAGGTGTGCGCATGTACATTCAATCATTCCGTAAAACTGGAACTACATCGCTATGTGATTTTACTACACACATTTACCAAACTATATTTCCTTCAACTATTCGTTTTCCCGAAATTTGAACAAACCAAAAGATGATGCCATCCGCAGGATTCGAACCTGCGCCCTCCTGAGAGGACTGCGACCTGAACGCAGCGCCTTAGACCACTCGGCCAGAATGGCTACACAAATCGGTAGATTTTAATACTACATATTCATACTACTTCATATTTATCTATTTTCTCATACATTTCTGAGTGAGGCGTTTATCATGATAGCAAATCAAGCGCTTTTCGACTTAAAAAGGTTGATCTGCTTTTGTGAAAAATGATTCATGTCTCTTCACGATGATAAGCTTGATATTCTCATCATCCGCGTTGCGAATAGGTAGCTAGTAATTCGTTATCGTCTGTATGTGCGACCGTAAATTAGAAGGCAAACTACATATTTTTCATATTTACACGGGATAAACCCCTTTTAACTCCTCGTACAAGTACAAGTTTGGAGCTAATCAAGTCTTTTCAAATCTTTTCCAATATTTCTCATTTTTCTTTAATTCATTGTCATTGTTCAGTTAATTGATTAGCTGTTTAATTCTTTTAACAAAACATTTTATTAAATGAAAAGTTCAACAATTGTGAATTGAAAATGTCTTTTTCGTGCGTAACGTTATCATCGGATTTCAAATCAACGCATCTACTGCTTCCCTGAGACGAATGTATTTGTAGATGGAATTTATTTTCATATCCTCCGCTGTCTGATATCTAGGCCCTGGTACTGGTTCCCACCAGCGACCGTTCCTTCCGGGTATCGGTCTGTCGTATCGGATTTTTCTAAACTCCTCCTCGACGCCAAATTGGAGCTGAAGCTCGACACTCAGACTTTTACGAGGTGAACGGAAGAAATATTGTGCTAAATAGAAAACAGGTTAAATTAAATTGATTCATGTTCAAAGTTCTTACCTACATCATTTCCTTCTGAATCCATTTCTAACATTTCCCGCATCTTTAAAAGAATTTTTAAAGGTTTCTCATACTGGTGAACTGATGCTGTAATCCAAGTTTCGATGTAACTACTGTAGTAGGACGGGAACACAAAAACTTTCCACTTCCCTTTCCCCATTGGAGATTCTAACCCGGCCTTTACATGTTCGGTTTTCAAATTATAGCTTATTTCATAGGTGCAATCGTTTTCATGCGATAACCACCAACACATCAGCAGTGAAAGTTTTTTGAAAACTTTCCGGACAAGGTCTGGATCCCCGATGAATTCGTTAGCGACTATCTCATCAGCTTCATGGATTAGTTCAGCAGCAACAGTCTGGTTAAATTGTTTAAGGTGGTTCTCGTACTCGAAGTACGAAGGTAAATCATTTTCCTCTTTGTCTTTTAGCTAAATTATAACATATATACATATATTAATATTACTAACGTTTTTGAGCTCAAACTTTGTTTGTGTCAATTGACCCGCTGCATCACGACTGATGTCGTAACGTTTACTAATATGTATTGCGGCGCATATTGTTAATGCGTACATGAAATCATAACGCTGACTGATGGTTTCATTTCTGTTGTCACCAGTAAGCAGGCTCTGAGCAATAGACAGAAAATTCTTAATATTCAGTTTTCATAAAAGTAACATAATATCACTAACCTCCTCCAGACATTTATGTGTATCATATGAATTCACGAATTTTTTGTACCATAGTACATATCTGAATAAAAATAAATTAAACAGTCACATCCACAAATTACTTTTCAATCCTGTTGAAACTTTTGTTTCTCCCGGAGAAGCCCCATTCAGTATAGTCATTCATACCTTGTCTCATCCTTTCCACCGTCATATATGGCGATGGCGAAATTTCGACTTCAACTTGAGATTCAGACATCTAAAAGAGAATTAACAGATTTATGGGATGTGATAAGTTTCAAATAACATATTGACAAAACTTCAGAGAACCAATGAAAATGCAGGGAACAAACAACAAATTGACTTTATGTAACAAGTTTTGATCCTAAACAAACGATTTTTTGTGATATGATTTAATCATTTCACAGAAAATGATGTACGAACATGAGGATTGGTAACACAGGTAACTGTAGTAGTTAATACAACCAGGAAGATGATGTTGCGAAATCTATCGCGTTTCACACACTCTGCCGTACTAGCTCCACCCCTTTTATCGTTTTGTGCACTTTTGACATTTGAGACAATAATAACTTGTAATAATAGCTTGAGCATAGTGTAGTCGATGCATAGCCTCTTCAAGTCGTTTTTTCCTGAAAGCAGTTTGTTGAAGCATATGAATTTTTTCTTTAATCAAAACCTGAATAGGATTGAAG